TGCTATATGTTGCATGTTACTTAGCTTGATAGGATCATTGCCTTTAGATGCTGCATGAAAACAAACAATGTTTCATTCACTATTCGGCAACTGTGTCTTTCTAAAGCTGAAGACAAGCTCCTTTCAAACTATTTCAGCTGATTTCTGTAAGAGATTCAGTGGCTATGCTATGTAGCACATTTACCTTGGAAACCCTCTTTGTCCCATTGTCTGGGCATGTTTATCTGATCTCTGGAGTACATTGATTTTCTCAAAATGTAGGTCAGTCTTGCTATATTTCTTCAGAAGGAAAGAAGATTGAATTAAGAAATATTGAATAGTTTGGAGAAAGATTGCCCTCTAGTGTTGCAACACTGGGAAAACATGCTAGTAATCTTTCTGTGCATTGCAGCCTATCAATAACCTGTTTTACATTTCTTAAGGGTTTGGAATATTTATCTCTAACACCTGTCTACTGGCTGACAAGTTGCATCTGAATGGTTAGCTAATGATAATCTTTCCTTCCAGTTTTAAAAAGCTTCTAGACTGTGGCACAGCATAGGAGAAAATGGCTAAGATGACCCCATTTTATATCATGTAGAATAACATATTATGTCACAAAATTCTGAAGAGGATTAGCAGCCTTTTCATGAGGGCAGAAGTCTATGGCTATATGCAGATGTCATTTTTTGGGATGTATCCTGGCACAGATGAGAACATGGGCAGAAGTTTTTATCTTTGCTGAGCACATGGGGGGGAAAACTGCTTTGGAAGGAATCAGTTAAAAAACCCAACACCCCACCTCCCCTTGCCACAAAAAAACAAACCCAGAAGAGAACCAGTCTGTTTAGACTGCAAACTTGCCTACACTGAAACCTCAAGCACTACTGTCCCTGTACTAATCCAAGCCCTATTGAAGACATGATCTAAACTGGTACAGCAGTCTGCGCTGGTTCTGCTGTTTTGATGCCAAGAACAATAGAACAGACATGTTTAGATGCTATCACGATGAGAATAAAACTTTTTTTCAGAAAAAAGAATGCCAAGAAAGTCTAATATTGCAGCTATTTTAAGAACAATTGTTTCTATATATCTGAGTGAACAATGCATGCCAGCATACTGTAAATGAATGGACACTTTAATTACATTGCTTTAGCAGTTATCATTGATATCATTAAGAGAGAGCTCAAAGTAACTGTTCAAGAGAGCAAGAGAGAGGCGTCTTGTATCTCTGGAACCTTTTGGGCAGAGGGAAAGAACAGGCTGAACCATCCTGTGATTGCAAACTGGTTCCGAGCTAGTGTGCCCAGTTCACTCCAAGATCAGTAAGGAAGAATAACAGGTAAATATGAGAACTAGGAAAGAAGGATGGCATAGGCCAGACATGTAACACAAATATGAAATATAAAAAAGGTATCTGGGTTGTCAACTACCTTCCATTCCTATGCTCTAGGACTTCAGTTATTTTAGTATCGGCTTGTGACTGAAGCTAAGACCCTCTCTTTCACAATTGTTAATTCAGTCATCCCTGAGACGACAAGAATGCAGTTGCAACGTTTTCTGTAAAACTTGTTTAGCCTGCCTTAGTGACTAGCAGGGATAGGGTTTTCTGTTTCCCATCGAAAAAATAGAAAAATCATGGATTTTCCCTTTTAACAAGAAATAAAGTGAAGAAAGGCACAGATTTTCCAGTTTTGCAAAAAGCTCCCTGCAGGCTGGCAGAGTTCCAGCTGCAAGGGGCTGGAGGGAAGCAAGAGAAGGCTGGTTAGGCAGGGAGCGCCATGTGCATGTGGGCACACACATGTACATGGCCACCGGGCAGCCTGGAGACCAGTGCCTGCAGGTAAGTCTGGTGCGGGGGGAGGGAGGAGGGATTGAGGCCCCCATAGGGAGGGAGTTGGGCAGCTGCATCCCTCAACAGCTCAGCAAAACTTTTTACGTGTCCTCCACCTAAAATAATTGCCCACTCCTGGATTAATGCCACTGCTGCTGCCCATAGGTCATCCAGCTGTGGGAAGCCCCATGGTCTGTCTGGATTTGCTGTGAGGGAACAAACAAACTTGACAGCCCTGCTCTGAAAGAAGAAAAGCAGCTGAGGAACCCTGAACCAATTCACCTCTGTGGTAATTTGGAAGGATGTCATCTTCTCATATTGTCAGATAAGAAAACATGGTTTCACTTGTAAAGGGAGTGGTTGGGAACTATATCACCTATGTGGAAAATGAAGCAAAACTTCAAAGGATTACTGACACATGGTATTTCCATGACACATTACTGTTGTTCTTTGGCTACAGTAAAGGTTGCCACCTTCTTCCATTCAAACACCTTCACCTACAATACTTTCAGTACCAGTCTGAACTATATTAACATTTAGACTTCGTAAAGTGTAAAACTCAAATCTAACTACAAGGTGTGTGTTCTGGATGAAAATTTGAGCACATCTTCAATGGGGTGTGGAGACTTGTTCTATAAACTTAAAAAAAGTGGCAACATAAACCAGCTGGTAAGGAAGAAGTTAATATAGCCACAAGGAAACTGATGTTCTTCAGCTGGGCCTGATTACAACTCATTTTAAAAGCTGCTTTCTCAGCAGGAAGAAATGCAACTGAAAGAAATGCTTCTTTTTTTTTTCCTTCTCTTTTCTTTTCCCTAGAGTGTTAGGAAGTAGGGGATATTTCTGAATGAAATTAGCCGGTTCAGGTTGTAAGCCTGTTTGGGAGTTCAGCTAGGTATAGAGAAAGGCAATAGGTCAACTCTAGAACAGATGAGGAGGAAGCTGGTGAAGCAGGCTCATCTAGGATCTAAAAAAAAATCCCTAAATTAGGTTCAGTCAGGTTTGGTTGTTGTGTGTAACCCTGCTTATGTTCTATTACTGCAATTTTTTTCTGTACTTTCTTCTTCACATGTCCTCATTATTATACATGCTCAGAGGTTTGGGGCTACTTGTGCCTGTTCTTACTGTTGATGGGTAGAGTATGCAAATACATAATGCCAGGTGGATCAGATCCCTGCATCCACAGGTGCTCCATTTTAAATTGATGGAGTTCATAAGTGCACAGATGTGGCAAAGGGAAAGGTGTGCAAAGATCAGTGAGGGGTCCTTCACTCACTGTGACCTTTGAAGAGGTCTTCAGTGGGGTGGCTGTAATATTCTTTAAATGCAAATAGCTTGAAAACTGTAGGAGAGAGAACATTTGTGTTTTCAAAGAGATTTCTTTGCTAAACCTTAGCATTTAGTGACCATGTCAGGATGATCCTAATTTCCAGAATTGGGGGAAAAAAGTCAGGAGCCAGGGCTGTTTCTACTGAGCTTCTCCGAGGAGGGTGTTGGGAGTCAGTGCAATGGGGAGGAGAGAGGGAGAAACCAGCTGAGGAAAAGCGGGAGCTGGGCAGTGGTTCGAGGCAGTGGGTGAGCAGTGGCAGCCCTGTCCCAAGCTCTGAGCAGGGAAGGAGGTGCCCATGGTAAGCCTGGCGCAGCGAGGAGGGCAGATAGAGGGGCCAGCTGAGGAAAATCAGAAGCCAGGCAGAGGTGCAAGGCAGTGGACAAGCACTGGAGGCCCCGTCTCAAGCCCCAAGCAGCGAAGGAGGCACCTGGGGCAGTGCGGAGAAAGCCCTGGGGTGTGGCCGGCTGTTGAGGCACGGATCTCACCTGCCTTTGCCCAGCAAAGAGGTGCACAGTTGGCAGCTGAGTGGCAGCATAGACAAGTGTGCCTCCAGCCCGCTGGATGAGAGCAAATGCAGGAAGGGATTGGTGTCTTCAAATGTTTAGCCTATATTATTTAAGTTTTATAAATATTTAATTTATTTAATAAATAGAAAAAGTAAAATCTATTTTTGTTTTTGTTATCTGAAATTCATCTGTCATTCTTGATGGGCAATTTGCTAGCATATGAATACGGAGCAGAAGAACCTTGAGATAAGAGTTACTGTGCTTGCATAGCATTGCAGTTCGCCATCAGTTTCCAAAAGGAAAGTATCTTTAGATACAAGTTGTGATAGTGGGTAAAAGCTTGTTATCCATTAGTTACTGAAAGAGCTGATATGTTGTGGCTTGTTGTTGGGCTGATTAAGGCTGAAAAGAGCAGGGTTTTTGCTCCCAGTCAGCGTGTTTATGAAATTTACAGTGGTGACACTTGGTGCTTGTGGTTTCCCAGTGTCAGTGCAGCTGCAACCTCTAGCAGTAGCAAGGAATGGTGGTAAACTTGTGTGGGCATCTCTACCTAGTACTTAACACTTTAGCTGATGTAGATGGTAGAGTCTCTAAGGTGAAGCTACAGCAAGCAGTGATGAGGGCTGCTAAGGTGGGCCTCCCTACATAGCACTTGCCATTTTGGTTGTAGGTGGTAGAGTTCCTGAATGACAGGCCTGGTAATTCTCCCCTCCCAGCAGACTTGGTTAGGTAGCAGATCTCTGGGCTTGTGATTTAGAGATGAAACAACAGTTAACTGTCTTAGTTGACCATTGCATGCAAATGCAGAAGCTTGTTTTGGGGGAGCAGGGTAGAGGACAAGTACCACAGGAAGTTTGTTCCAGCCCCTAGATGTGACTCTGGCCCCTGTAACTGACATCCAATGCCTAGCAGAAGAGACGCATGAGATTTGCTTGTCTGAACTAGTACAAAAGTAGCAGCCCCCTTCCTTCTAGGGGAAGTTCTGTTGGTCAGTAACCAACTCCTCAGAACATATTCAGAGCAGGTCCGAGCTTGTTGCTGTGCCCAGTAGTAACTAACAAGCGCTGCGGCTGTTCCTGGGCAGTGAGGTGAATGCAGGTCTCTTTGCTACAGGGGAGATGAATTCCAAGGGTCCCCAGAAACTGAGTAATAATGGAATCTTTCTTTGGTAGGAAAGCCGGAAGATTAGACACAGATTGGAAACTGCTAAGTTTCTCTTTCTGAAAGACATAGGAGACTTTCTTTGCATTAAGTCAATGTCAGATGATGAATTGTGGGTTGTGGTGAGGTTGACCAATACCGATCTGTAAGTGCAACTTTATTTTGTCTTCCCTTATGGAAAATAGAAGTTCCACAGTCTGCTGACCATCTGATAAAGGGTGAATCTGAATTTCTTCAGCTAGCTGAGACAAAGAGAGAGTGGAGATGGAGTCCCTTCTACGTCTTTCCTTGCTTAGCTTGGCGAGTGGCAGGATTTCTCCAGAAAGATTTGTGAGTTTCACTCTGAGGTAGTAGCCCACTGTGTCTGCTGAGATTATCAGACAGAGCAAGATTTGATCTGAGTAAAATCAGCATGCTCTGTGGACAAGAGACATGATTCCTTTGGAACAGCAATGCTGATGAGCAACCTGTTCTTCCTACCAAAAAGAACAGGGATGGATATCTTCTAAATTGGAAGCAAGTGCATTGACTCTCAGGTCAGGGTAAGACCCCTTTTTTTCTTTGAGAAGTAAAGATATGGGATGATAGGATGGTAACATTAGATCCAAAGGCTGTATACTTCTTTTACTGAGGTGAAAAAAAATCTAACTTTCCTTCAGCTGTACTAGAGAGGCCATCCATAGAAAATAAAATTTGCTCCAGGGTGTTTTGCTGACCTGTTGAAACCATGATGTTGTCCTTGCCTGGAAAGGAGACTAGGAATCACATTCTCACTTATGCTCTTCATGTTTATAGAGGGGCAGAGGATGAAAAGACTATACTCCTTACATGGGAACATGTGCCTGAAATTTCTTTCAAAAGCATTAGTTAAGTTCAGTACTGGTTCCTGGACCTGAAGAAATGAGAGAGAAGAAGGCTTTATTTAACAAATAGCAAATGGGATATGGAGAGCTCTAATTTGGGATATGGAGAGCTCTCATTTGCATTTTGTAAACTGTGACTAGGGTTATGGGGGAGGGTGCCCCCTCCTGAGAGAGGGACTCAGTGGCCTCTGATTTGCATCTAATCTTCTGGCTTCTTCAGTTACTATCTGAAGGATGCTTTCTTCTTCCCTATGAGTAGTTGTCCCCACCCCCCCACATACACAAAATTAAAAAAGCTTGATAAGCTATTTGATGTGTAAACTTTAAAATGAAAGGGGAGTCTTAATTGTGACTAGTGGGCTAATCATGTTACCAGACTGCATACTGATTTTTTTTTTTTT